GAACAAAACACTGACATACAGTTTACCAGAGAAGTCGAAGAAAATGGCAAACTTCCTTTTCTAGACTGCCTGGTAAGCCACAACGACAACTCATTACGGACGACAGTTTACAGGAAACCGACACACACCGACAGATTACTAGACGAGTCATCCTACAACCCTATATCACACAAAACTACAACTATCAGAACTCTAACACGACGCGCACAACTAGTATGCGACTCGACAGACAGCTTATCCGACGAGAACAAATACCTTCACCGTGTTTTTACGAAGAACAACTACAACAACGACTTCATCCGACGAAACACTCACCGACCCACTACCACTACCGAAACAAACGACACCGCAACCCCTACGACTACAGCAACCATACCGTACATAAAAGGCATGTCTGAAAACATCTCGCGCATCTTACTACCCTTCAATATCCGCGTCGCCCACAAACCCATCACCACACTACGTCAGTTACTAACCAACGTTAAAGACAAAGACGAACCGAGGAACAGACAGGGAACGATTTATAAGATCAATTGTTCCGACTGCCAAGCCTCCTACATCGGTGAGACAGGCAGAAACCTCACAACAAGACTGGCTGAACACAGACGGGCGACCAAGAAAAGTGATGTCAGCAATCACATTGCTGAACACCATCGACTTACCAACCACAACATTGACTGGGACTCTGCGCAATGCCTAACCTACAGCACTGACTATTTTCAACGACTGACTCTGGAAAGCTGGTTTACTAACTTAGAACAGACTCCTCTAAACAGATGTCAACAACTACCCGCTCCATACAGACGAATCATTCAAGACATAAACATCACAAACGACCGAAAAAGAACGACCTAACTTTACCGACAGATCGAAACAGACCAATCACGACCGACTTATGTCACTTGAGTCTTACAGCCAATAACATCACGGCAAAACTAACCGATCATTTTACACGAACTGGAATAAGAACATTGTACTGACAACAATCATTCACTTGACTCTGATGATGACTTCCGCACAGGTTGTCGAAACGTCAGTCACTGCCACCGACAACAGTCCTTCTCAGGACTACACTCACCCGGACGATAAGACTACACCTTCACAAGAGAGCGTATATCAACAATTGCGCAATACTTGCGTAACTTCACGTGGAAACGCGAATAGGGTGCAATGGACAATCTTTCGCAGTTATTTCAAGTAGCTGGATAATTTATGGAAATTCTAGTTGCGATAACCCTTTACTTGCTAAAACTGTGAAAAAGTTTCCTTTGGTGAAATGAAGTTATTGTTCTTAGAAACTAAACACGCAAAAAAGACATTAACTTTTGCTTATTTTCTCTCAATAACTAAATGTTTCCACCGTGGGCACCAGGAGAAGAAGTACCGAAAGACGTAACACCTCCAATTATTAAAGACTACAACAAGAAGAGAATTGCAATTCCTCATAAAACGCCAATAAAAACGATCAGGAAACCGATCTACTCACATGATGCTCGGCACAAAGAGCTGGCAGGTTTGGCTATTGGGATGATATTTTTCTATGGCCTTGGTGCATATA